AAGAATATGGTATAGCGAGCCAATACTTTTGGACCAAATCATTACTTGTGTAGCCAGTGGTGTAGAACATTGCATAGATGAGCCTTGGAACAAGACGCATAAAGCAACAGAGAGCAAAACAATCAGCATTGTTCTATCAGCAGTAGCTCTACACAAGTGCACAGGACACTGTGAAAGACTGAACTGAGCAGCCAACTCAGAACTACTTACAGCTCTTGTCATACATTAAAGACCGACAGATGTACAAACACAACAAACAAAGCATTTTTATTCTTTCGTTACAACTTACCTACAGAGAACTTTCTCATGTCCTCAATCATTACATATCTTGCAAACCAGTAGACTAAGTGAACAAATTTAGGACCAGCAGGAGAAAGCAGTGATGAAGCTGTAATCTTTGGAAGACGGCTTTTCCCTGGATGCTAGAAAAGTTAAATTGTTTTAAACACAGATGTAATCTAAGAAATAAAGCATAAACAACAGCTATCAAACACATAGCTGAGTACCAAAACACTACAGACTACTTGCTAGCAAACCTGATGCAAAGCTAAATGACTTTGCTACCACAGCTGACACTTTCTCTAGTCAGCAGAAGAGAACAAAGCTTTTTTCAATATTCCTACCACCACCCCGAGTTCTGTACACAAGACAGCTTCAATGCAAAGACTGAAATTAGTGTTGGGTAAATGTGAGAAATCGGTGCCTTCCTAATTGGTAATCCCTATCTTTGAAAACACATTAAAGTTTTCTTTCGTCTTTTCCACTCAAGTAATTAATTAATGCAGTTTTACCATATTCAAAGATACTGCATTGCTGGCTTACACTTTGTCCATTATTACTAAAAAATCAAAAGTTTTGCAGTATATAAAGATGTAATTTTTAGAACAATTATTAAAACAAAGGCAGCATAAGAAGATAACATAATAACCAATGATACCTGAAGCAATCAGTTTTGATTTATCTTTTTTAAAAGCTTGCCTTAAATTTTAGTCCCTTTTCTTATATACAAGGAAAGACTAATATTAAAGTTTTTCATGCATGTGAAACAGCTTTCACAATAATAAGCACATTCCCAGGCAACTTAAACAAACACCTCTCAAGCTGAAGGAAGTTATTCTCACCCAGAGCTAAGGAACTCTCTAGACTTATGTTTAATTAAATACCATTACCCAGAAGCAAGCCACAGAAGTTTTAAGACCTAAGATTAGGTCCCTGTCATCTAAATTCCACAATGCCACAGTCTTTTCTTCAAAGAAGTCCAAAATAAACTATGTGAAAGAACACACAAGGTAAAACTGAATTCTTTGATAAAAATCCTTATTTAAAACTTTGATTTAAAGGAGTTTTCTCAAAAAAAAATGAGGTCACAGAAACCAGCACAGCATCAACTTCCACTCTTCATGATACTTACTGAAATTTCTCCTAGCCACTTACAGCACTGCTTCCTAAATTGAAGATTGGCTTCCGCTCCCAACACATAATTCCTTTCCATTTAAAAAGGATGAGTGAAAAAAAGAAAAAAAAAAATTCAAAACATGTTCAAATATCCAGATACCTAATTAACCATTATAAAAACAAGACTAAGACAAAGATTTCTTTTTATGCCTACTGGAGGAGCCAGCAAATGAGGGACATATATCCTAGACCAAGAATAGCTAAAAGTTTGTTAAATGACAATGTTTTCTTTCCATAAGTTAACTACAGACTCAGAGACAGATTTGTCTGCAGCTCTTTCTAACTTAGGATAAGGGAAAAAGAACAAAAAAGGGGTCATAACTGACCATTTTCATATCACTAGTCTTCCTCCTGCCATGTCTTCAGATGCATAAGCTAAAACAGCTCAGCTTTAAGAGGAAAACCATTTAATAAACATAGGGTTCTTGCCATGCTGAAGATCCTGGCAGCAATCCATAAATGGGAAATGTTACTCTTTGTTTGGTCAGCAATATGAATGGAGAAGATAGATTACTTTGCAGCTATTAAGTTTATATCAAAGTTATAAACTTTGTCACCAAGTTACAGATACTATCAGACACAACTTTAATTATTCCGAAGTTGTGATACAGAGTAGTGATGAAAAGGAAACGAATATTCTGACTGTATGCTCTTCTTCCACAGTATTCCCCAAGTGACCACTTCCCTCCCTCCAGCAAGTGTATAAACATATTCTTAATTAAGGGCAGAGCAGCAAATAACCTCACAAGCCACACACTTACCGAAAAGTTTCTTGTGCACGGTCCTTATCCAGCTTAGTAAACAAGAAGAGGGCAACGACAGCAAACGCTTTGGGGTTTGGTTTATCAAACATGTTCCTAATACACAAATAAACAGCCCTATCAGAAGTAGTTATGGTGACAAATTAATAGAGCATTTTTACTGACCACTAAAGATTACAAAACATTAGGTTACATTAAAGCATTACAAATTACACATTGAATACTTTGTTACTTGTGTGTAAAAGTATACATCGTCCAGCCTATTTAACACAGGTGAAATCCAGGGCTGCATCAAAAGCATGGCCAGCAAGTTGAAGGAGGTGATTCTCCTCCTTTGTTCTTCTGAGACTCCACCTGGAGTACTGCATTCAATTTTGCTGCCCCCAACATAAGAAGGACATGGAACTGTTGGAACAAGTCCAGACTAGGCCCACGAAGTTGATAAGGGAACTGGAGCACTTCCCCTATGAAGGCAGAGAGAGTTGAGCTGTTCAGCCTAGAGAAGAAGAGGTTCTGTGGAGATCTCACAGCAACCTTCCAGTATCTGGAGTGGTCCTACGGGGAAGCCAGAGAGGGACTCTTCATAAGGAACTGCAGTAGCAGGACAAGGAGTAACGGGTAAAACTTGAAAGAGAGGAAATTTAGGTACAATATTAAAAAGAAATTCTTTATTGTGTGGGTGGTGAGGCACCAGAGCAGGTGGCCCAGGGAGGCTGTGGATGCCCCATCCCCGGCGGTGTTCAAGGCCTTGAACAAACCTGGTCTACTGGGAGGTGTCCCCCCTGTCCGTGAGCGAGGGGGTGATCTTCCAACTCCTTGACGTGCTATTATTCTATGAAATAATTCCGGCGAGAGCGTTACCTTTCAAGGCCAGTTTTGAAAACACGCACTAGGGAGCCGCTCACCTCGCCTTCCCTACGGGACTGTGTGGGGAAGCAGCTCTTATTATTCCTGGGGTTCATTTCTTTGGACAGAGGTAACACGGACCGCGGTGGCACTAGGGGCTTTTATCCTGCGCTACATATTGCCAGGGGCATCGGGACCCCCGGTGGCTACGGCGAAACGGTCCCGCCCCGCTCCAGCCGAGCGCTCCCGGTGGAAGAGCCACCGCCCCACCCGCCTCGCTCCCCCGGCCCTCCCTCGCACTGACCGTCCCCACGTTCACGTCCTCGGAGCATTTGTTCGGGTCGCGCCCAGGCCAGCAAGTAGAGCCAGAAGTGATCCTTCTCGCAGACGTGGGCCATGGCTGCCCGGGCGCTCGCCGCCGCGGGCACCCGCGCGCTCGCGCCGCCAGCCCGCGCAAAACAGAGCCCCACACCGGCCCCGCCCCGCGCCACACCCCCGCCCTCGCGAGACCGCTCTCCCCAAAGCGAGGCGGGGCGGCCGCGCTGCCTCACGGGAGGTGTAGTCCGGGCGCCGAGGAAACCGCCAGCGGGCCCTTCCCGTTGAAATGGGTTTGCGATCGGACGGCGAAATTTAACACGGAACAAACAAACTGAAAAAAACCCCAACCACACCGGCAAGCGAGCTGTGCGGTTCAAACTTTTATTTCAAGGCATTTCAGTGACCAGACTTGCAAGTGCTCACAAGCAGAGTCTCCCAGGGTGCCGCGCAGTAGGGCGATGCGGTGCGGGCGGCGCTGGACGGATCAGCGCCGTGACACGGCTCCCGACGGGCTGCATCGCCCCGGCGGAGCAGCTCGGTCTGGTCCTTAAAAACAAATGTTAACAAGCCCGCCTCCAGCCCCGTTCTCACCCTCCCCAACTCCTACAGAACTTACTGTGTGCGAGCAAACGCGGCCTCAACATTCCTCAAAAAATAACCGACGTTTTATTTAAACAGAAAAAGTCCCCACACTGTTACCAGAAGTATCCTCACGTTCAATTCCTTCTTTTTTTCTTTTCAATTTTCTTTTGTCCCACATCTGTATCTCTTCGTCCTCCATTTTCCCTCACTTCTTACAGTCTCTTACCTTTTCTAACTGCTACCCTTATTCCTGGAAAACTTTAATTTTTAAGCATTTACCCTCTTCTAGTCTTAGGCGCCACAACTGATAGCATCACAATGGCCAAAATATTTGCACACAGAAGGTATGTGGAAAGAAAGGGAGTCCTTCTGTGCATAAAGCACTCTTGCCAAAGGAAAGCTCTAAGCTTCTAAGCTCTGTAGGTGCAGAGCCTAACAAAAAGAACTTGAGAAAATTTGAGATAGACAAAGTCTCTTACCCCTTCCAGCAGCAAAGAGGTAGATACAAAACTGCTTTTCATGTAGACTGAAAGGGGAAATTTTGTGGGCAAATCCTCATCAACTCCTTTTGTTGGCAGCCCTTTATGCAAAGCACTGGGGTGTTCTCATGGCCGCTATCAGCAGGAGAACAAATCATTAACAAAGATCAGATCAGTTGGATACACTGGTTAGGCTATACCTGGCTTATAGAATGGGAGCTTGACACCTATGCTAATGAATTAATGTAGTGTGCATTCCTTATGTAGAAAAAAACCCCAGATTTTTGATGCAGCTAAATGAAACGGCAGTGATTTTTAAAAAAATATCCCCATAATCCCTAAACTAGGCAGGTTCACCTTCAAAAAGGAGAAATCTAAATTAAACATGGCAAAGGTACATTGTATCAAAATAGATCTCTATTCCGCTCTTTGCCCTGTAGTGTAAGGGCCATTTGTGCGTGAAAAGTCTTGTTGATCCTCTTCATCCAAATCCAAAATGTCTGGGATATCATCTGACTCTGAAGACAGGTCTGTAATAGTGAAATCTGGAACCTGTGTCAGAATGAAATTTCAGTCAATTTATCTAAACAAATTTGTGCAGTACTCCTCTCTGAAGTCATGACACAAAGATACATAGCATCTCTAGAAATCAGACCCAATATACTGAATACAGACTGAAATATGCTCAGTCACATATGAAACACATAGCATTAAGAGAGACCAAATACTATGCAAGATACAGATCAGTTGCTTAGAAGACAGGATTTTATAGTAGATGTAAGTGTAGAAGGCCCTTCCGGAAGATTTTACTGTGAGGAGATTAGGGATTTTCACTTAAGAAAGCTTTCCTCTTTGGCCAGAGACAGTTTTAGATATTTTCTCTTCCTGCATTCCAGAGAAGCTCTCCCTGGCATGAGAAAACATAAGTTCTTACGGACATGTTTGAAGGTCGGGAGGGCCTGGGACAATAAAAGCCCCGAGAACAGTAGGCATATCTTCTTTTCCTAGGCCTGGTGCAGTTTTGTGCTGATATGTTAAGTGCTCTTGACTCCAAAAATAAATTCTCCCAAATCCTTCCACTGCCTGGTATTTTGGGGGTACCTGTGTGGTTTTGACCCTCACATTAGAGATGTAACAGAGATGAACTCAGTGGACTGAATTTGGTGAAGCTGGTAAACGTGGTGACTGGAAAATTAAGAAAGGAGGTTTTTAAAATTACTTTGCCTTTCTTCTTTCCATAAAGGCAATGGACTATATTAAGTAATCTGCCCTGAGGAGATTGATACGGATTGCTCTGTACTGCCCTGCCTGCCTACTGAATGAAACCTTTCCTGAGGAAACAAATACCTGGAACTGCAATCTCACTTTTGTCTCTGTTTTAACTACATGTGTAGTATTCTGTACTGTTAAGCAGCGCCAGGTTTCAGGAATTGCTAGAGACATTAGTGGATACATGGATGTTACAGACTTCTAAAAATGTTGGCTAAGACACTTAGGAGCTTAAGTCCCAACCCTTAAGTCCCTTTAGTAGGACTTAGATTACTTAGGCACTTCTGAAAAATGGGATATAATTAAGCAATTTACTCATAACTGTAAATTTTTTACACCAAGTGAAAAATGCTTACATCTGTAGTTTGATTAGTAGTTAGTTTTAATGTTGGTGATGAGACATACTTGAAGCCAGATAAAGTATCAGCAAATAACAACTGTTGCATGCTGAAAGGACTTCGGTTCTGCATGTTCAAAGCAGCAACAATTTGCAGAGGTTTCTATGCATTTCTGTAACTTAATCTCAGTGCTGACTGGAGAAACAGTTTTAATCCATTCCCTAACTGCAAAACACCTTATGACTTACTTTTATGAAAGACGGTAGGCAAGAAAAAAGCTATGCTGTGCCTGCTTTGAAGATATCTCAGAAGGGCAGAGAATATATCAAATTATAAGGGGATTACTGTTTCAGCTACCAGGCTGTACACAGCACAGAATCGCTGCATGCGAATCACTCAGTTTCTTACGGAGTTGGTAGTCATAGGGCACCAGGGACTTAGAAATATTAATTATTAATTAAAACTGAGTTTTAGAAGAACTTAAGCAGTGTGTAACTTTTCAGGCACTACTGTTGACAACCTAAGCTTGATCAAAATGAGATCTGTAATTTTTGTCTCAAAAAAGTCAAAATCAAAAGGGAATGAGGGAAACACATCTTTGTACCAGAAACAATTATCTTGCATCTTTCTGCTTACAGCAATTTACCTAAAACTCTAATTACTGAACTTAGAGAAATCAACAAGTTTTCCCACTATCGGTACATGACCCTGTATTCCATACTGTAGTATAAATCAGGGTATCTTAACAACACTAAGGTTAAGTAGTCCATACACAAAATCATTTAAAAATGTGCCCAAAGGAATTGTTTAAATGAGTTGGTTTATTCTTTATTTACACTGAGCAGGACACATAACCATGTTCAGTAACTGTGTCTGACCAGTGAAAATTTTTACTATATCCTACATTTAAGAGGCTTTTACTCATATCCACGTTGTTCTCACTGATAACAGAACAATCACTGAAATTTAAGTTTGTGCTTTCCTCATCTTCTTAATGCATGCAGTAAAAGCACCTGACTCCTTTAATGTAACAGTAAGATTTTCATAGCCATGAAAGAATTTCATATTGAAGTGTATGTCAGCATCAGAGTAAAACAGAGTGGATGTCAGTATGATTTATCTCAGTTCTGAACATGCTAAATTGTATTAGAATTGCACATTCTAACATCTGCACCAGTCTAACTAAATCAATGCAAAGCTCTTGGCATTATGGGATTGCTTAAGTAAAGGACCTTCACTTACATACCACTTTTCACAGTTGACTTACTGCTTTGTTTCAACTTCCTATCAATTCTTGCAAGAAGCATAAGATACAACCCTTCTTCATGCTATTTCTCCATAGGATGCAGTTAAATCATTTACACAGAAAAGTGCACAACTTGCAAAAACCTTACATGGAATAGTACAGAACATACTTCAGGTGTTTTGCTGTCTTCATACACAAACAGTAACATCAATACTAACAACTTTGATCAATTTTTTCTTGCTAAATATGTTTTCAGAACTGAGCCACAGATTGCTCTCATTTCGTGCATTTTCAAAACAAAGCGCCTATTTTTAGTCATCAGACTGTATTATCCAAAAGAAGTGAAATTGCCACCTTAATATGAACACAAATAAATTTAACAAAACGCTATGCAATACCTCCAGCAAGCTGTGGCATGTAAAACTTTCTGATCATGCAAATTACTAACAGATCATGCTTAAAAATGTTTAGTTCTGTTTCCTCTTTTTAATTAGATGGTTTAAATAAGTTTTTCCTTGGTAGTTATGCTTTTTTTTTAAATAACAAAAAATAATTCATCATTTGTTCCCAAACCCTTTCACCTATTTTACTAGCTATAAAATATTATTCTAACTTGAATTCTGGAAAATACTAACGCAAAAAATTAATCTTGAAGAATAGATGACATTTCAAAAGTTTTCCACCTTTCTTTAGTTTGAGGTAAACCAGCTTCAACTCCAGTTCTTATACAAATCTTGTAATTTGGCTTTGGCCAATGCTATAAATATGACGTTTGCCAAACTTGCGTACCATATGGAGCTATTTACAAATGCTTATATTTAGAGCTCTTGTAGAAAAGGACTGCTAGCAATGATAGAATAATAGTTCTCTGTCGACTGCACCTGAAAGGAGGAAGGGTCAACTAGCATGAACAATTTTTGAGTGATCTCTTAAAGAGAAACAGTATCTGAATTCTAAATAAACACTAAATAGCCTAGGTAATTATGTTACTATTTTAACCTTTATCTTCCCAGGTTTTGTATGGCTATCAGCCTTTGACATGCTTCCATTTCATCTAGTTTATCTGCCTTGCTGCAAAGAGTTGAACTTATTTCCTATCATTTTCAACGTATATGGTCTTACCTTTTTTAGAAGGTAACTTCACAGCTTAGAGAAACTTCACAGCTTTCTAGCCCAAGCTATATCCTCAAAAGTGATTTTGGACTGAGAGCAAGCAAGTTTCTGTGTAGTGCACCTGAATTGTTTGATACATGCAATTACAGAGAAACAGGTAGGATGGCAGGAAAATTCATGAGCAAACTCTGCTCTGGTTTCCCTCCTTTATTTGAAAGGAAGCACCTTAGCTTCAGTCAAAAACAACAGTGGCAAAAAGAGAAAGATGACTTTGGAAGGTGTCTGCATCGTTTTTGCCTCCAGTGGGCATTTTAATACTTGCTCTCTCTTGCTGCACGAGAGAAAAATAAGTTCTGTCTGTACAGCTGCAGTAAGACTAGAGCGTGGGGATATGCTGTGCTAAATTATCTACAAGAAGATACCCACGCCAGCTCCAGCTGCAATTCAGCTGAAACATTCAGTGCTGTCTGTATTAGCAGGATATAATAATAATCTCAATCCAGAGAACTTTATTCTATATAATGAATCAGGAATATACTTATTTGCTGTTAGTCAGTCCTTTCTTCCACTAGGGAAGGGTTCCTAATTCTATTTGGGGGATGGGGGGTGGATAAAACTTAAAGCACTCAGTGGCTGGGCAGCATCCAACAAAACTACCACTTATCACAATAGCACAGCACAGGAACCTACATATAGCATTTTAGACTAACAGGCTATAAGCCCAGCATTTAACCAGGCACTGCTGTTTGCAGCCACCAGTTGTAGGTCAGCTGTCAGAAGTCAATGAACTTTACACAGAAGCAACCCGATAGCGCACGGTGAGGGAGAAGTGCTTTGAAGGTCTAGGCTGGTATCAGTTTCCCTTGCTTTCTATTTCATCTGCTTGCTGAGGCTTAGTAAAGCTGGACAGCCATGTAAGGGTACAAACCAGTAGCACAACTTAAGGCAGAACAGAGATGTACTGCTTGTTCACTAATAGCAGATGATGCTGTTTATTTCTCCATCTTTAAAAAAAAACAGTGAAAAGTTTTGATATTTTATTTGATTGATCAGCTCAAGATGAAGTCCCAGAGCAATTAGATTTTAAAATGTATAGAAGAATGGGAATTCCCTTCTTTAAACAGCCAGCTGCTCCCAGACCTAATTAGTTCCATTCTGTTGCTGAACACATCTACAACAGTGGATGCACTCTAAAATTTTATTATAAATGGAGATAAAGAAGGATAGTCTCTGGCTGGCTCATGCAACAGTTAAAGTAAACTTTAAAAGAAGTTAATTGCTGAAAGCACTCCAGAAGTCTTAACTCAGGCACTAATTGGAAAAGAGTATCTCATCCTCTTATGTTAATTTTATGCTAAACAACTCCCTACATAAAGTAAATATTTAAAGCAGGGAGGATTATAGATAACACTTCTTTAATTATGTTGTTACAATTTGTTTAATATTGTGCTTAAAAAGTCTTCCTCACGCTTCTAGGCCAAACCTGACTTAACAGCTAAGCAATCCCTCTCACAGTAGATGGCTAGATAACAGGTAATTTGCTTTAGTGCCCACATTGTGCCAGACAGAGGTATTGTTCCATGAAGCAATGTGCCACTATGTGATAAGCTTCCTTTGAACTCCATTTGCTTCACACTATTTGGTGACCTCTTTGAAAATGGTGGCCAGCATTGCTACTCTAAATGATTGCAACTCAAAAGTTGTACAGGGCATGCACTAGTAACACAGATACAACTTACCTGGACAGCCCCCAACCAAGAAAGCTTATTTCCTAGTGACAGTAATTCTTTTCCAGTGGAGGGATTCACAGTATTTACTGAGGAAAAACTGTACCCAAGTAGCTGAGTGTACATTTGTCACTCAAGTTCAAAGGAGGTTAGATAAAGTTAAACAAGTTTAAACTGGTGTTGCAGCTGAGAAGTATACACTGTTTATAGGGAGCCAACAGACAGCCAGCAGTTTCATGCACACCAAACACCTACTGTGAAGGGAGGAGAGGGTTCTTTTGTGCATATCCTTCTTTTTTTCAATATTAAAACATCCAGTAGCTCACAGCTTAGGTCATCACTAAAGGTGGACAACAGCAAGGACCAAAAAAAGCAGCAGTAAAGCTAAGATTCAGGGGAGGGATGCACACAGACTCTAAGGGAGGAAGGAAATGCTGCAGCAATATCTTATCTATCTATAGATACACAAACACATTTTCAATGCACATCTATCTCATTTGCATGTCAAGCTTGCTTTCTGCTAGACCTGGTTTGAAGGAGTCACAGAAGAGCAAGTTACTCTGTTTTAAAACACCACTGAAATGGAGACAGACATTGGCTACTAAAGCATTTATTACTAACATACAACATGAATTACAAAAGGATGCCTATAAAAAACACACACGGACAACAGCAGGCATTTGGGTACAAACAGCATGAATGAATACCTTTATACTGAATATGAAAAAAAATGTATTGATAATTATTTGGTCCATCACTGGAGCAGGGTCCCCAAGGAAACATTCAAGGAGCATCTGGATGACACTCTTAATCATATGGTTTAGTTTTAGGTAATCCTGCGAGGAGCAGGAAGTTGGACTTGATGATGCTTATGGGTCCCTTCCAGCTTGACATATTCTATGATTCTGTGATCAAGTTACTGGGTTAAACAATAGTTAAGTTTATATTAATGTTAACTCTGTCACAGCATTTAACTCCAGCTGACCCGTTCAGAAACCCCACTTTCAGCTTTGGCATCCTGCGCTCACAGAACTTTTGTCATGAATTGTGTAGGAATAGAGTCTGAGACAGATCCATAATTATCAAAAGTGTGATCTGCAGCAAACATAGACTGAAAGTGTACCTAGACTGCAGGGCTTTTAAATGCATTTCATAGTATTAAGGCTTTTATAGCCTTCTGGTAGAGATCAAGGAACAAAACAAAAGCTTTTAGCTAGGGTAGGTTTCAGTTATACTAATGGTATTAATACCACAGATAAGCATAGTGAGGTTTCTCGACAGACAAACAAGGCATCTTGACAACTGTAAGCTGACAATACTTAGGCACTTGAGACAGTTCGAGTTTTTAGAGTGGCTTAACTACACAGGACAATACACAGCTTATACGTAAGTGTGTCCTGTCTCTGTAGATTTTCCCCTCCTCCTATATTTATGGATTTTTCACCAAGGCTTTTTTGACAGCTACACTTGGTAAGGCCACTTGTTTTGTCGGTCAGCAGAGTACATGCATGCTATGCAGTTTATTCAGTAGTGTGTTCAGGCTGTTTGTCTTTCTGGCTGGAATTTTTCTCCCCTTCACCTTTGCTCTCAGCATGCTGAATGCCAGGCAATTGTGGGTAAAAGGGACCTACCAGCAAGTTGAGAGGCGTGTTGTTAACAAGATAATCCATCACATCATCCAGAGACTCCTTCATTTTCTTCAGCTGTCCTTTACTAGCTGTAAGAAAGCTGTCTGATAATTCTTGGAAGGAGGATGCAGACCGAAAGCTCTGGTAGACATCACCTGCCATTGACCCAACACTGTAAACCTGATCCTGCACATTCTGCGGCAGCCCCTGTAGGCTTGAGACCAGTGTGAGGCAAGTGGTCTGAAGTTGCTGAGTGAGGCTCTGTGCAATAGCTAGAGTTCTTGACTCAATGTACTAGAAAGAAAAAGTATAACAGCATATTAGGGTCGTTTTATGACTGTAGCAACTTTATGTTGCTCAAGATACATGAAGAAGCAAAGTAAAGGGGATATAAGTGAAATAAAGCTATAGCAGATAATAAAATGGGCCTTAAGTCTGAAGAGTCAGAGACTTAAAAGTACTTGATATCTCTTCAGCACTCAAGTACTTTGTGAACAGAAACACTGATGGCTTCTGCCTAGTGACAGACAAGCAAACTCTTGTTTCAGCTCCGGATAACAAGTCACAGCAGGTAAGTATATCCTAATCAATGAACCACTGTTTAAAGCTACATGTAGGACTACCTGAGCCTGTGCCTAAGACTGCTTTATGCTAACAAATTGTTATTTCTGGTCTGGACACATCAGATAAGTGAGTTCTAGCTGATTTACATATGGACATCCCAACACAGGTTCACATACCAAACAGGATGAGCATTCTCATGAGAGGAGAATGAATCCTAGAGTGTTTGCAGGAGGTAGGCTCATTTAAGAGCTTGCATCCCCTACTTTTCACTAGTCAACTGCCCTGAGCTTCAGCATCCCGATTTCACATTTGCACATAAGCTTCTCTGATGCACACTTCAGGGACTGTTAGTTTTCCATTACCTTCACAGTATACAATCCATTTATCTCTAGTGTACATTTACATCTATTTACCTCAGCACTACGCAGTTCACCACCGTCATTTTGGCCTGTATTTTTCTTCCATTCTACCCAGGATTGATAAAGCTTTTCCTGAGCACCAAGAAGTTTCTTATTGGCACTATTCACGTTCTTTCTGGCATACTCGATCTGAAAGACAGCCAAATAAGGAAGTAGAGCAAAGAGTCCAAGCAGTTCCTTAAAGGCTACCCTACCTTGACTGTTTTGTAATCTTCTTTTTAAATATGTCAGAAGTTCAGTATAAAGGACTTTGGGAGCATAAGAATGTGTTTCTTGTCTTCAAAGAACTGAACACTGGGAGCAGTTTTGAGACTGCCTCAACCATTTCTGCGTCCCCCACTGGCATCCTACAGAAGGAACTGAAAGTGTGCAGGTGGCCATGACACTTTATGTGCAGTTTGTCCTGTACATAAAGGTACATTGTTAGGATAAGACTACTGAAGTACCCAGAAACACCCAGAGACAGAACCAGCAAGAGCAGCAAGCCCCAAAGGAATCTGACATTTTGTTAACATAAAGGACCTAAAGAACTGAAGTGTGTCTAAATTGCAAAACACTTTTGTCACTGAGTCAAGTGTCAAACCCAGAACTACAAAACATGAATACAATTTTAAATATGTCACTTTTATTTCTGGAGTGCCTACAAGCAGCTGCACAATCGCAGCTCAGCTTGATTTAGGACATCTCCTGAATGGTGATGAAAATCTCTTGATGGCAAATGCTTTGTATTTGGAAAATGCATTTAGTGTGAGGCAGCGATTCCAGTCTTCCTATTGCTCTTTTGGCTGTTTTCTTCACTCTAAAACTATGCCAAAATTTGCTTTTTACACCTCAAGTGAAAGCTCAAAACTTACCAGACTAACAGTGTGGTGGAGCTGAGAGATTGTCTCCTGGCTTTTCTGTTTAGCATCTTTAACTTTGTTTAAGGCTTGTTGGTAGGCACGTGTGCGGAGTTTTGAAGACAGGGATCCTAATCTAACATAGTAGCTTGGCTTTTGAACTCCAACTTCAAAACCTTCAACGTTTGCAGCTTCTTTCTCTACGTATGTTGAAAGGAAGCAAATTGATCACTGGAGGAAAACTTAAAGAGGTCTGAGACAATTTTATCTGCCTAGTAACAGCTGAATACTGAAGTTGCTGAGTAGTCCTTTAGCAACAAGATAGATCATCTTACATGGAAATCCTTACTTTCATTATGTTTCCCCTGTGAAGATGTCATTACATCCAGCAAGGCAAAAGGCAGCTTAGGAAGCACATGCTCCCTCCCCACTATAAATAAGCAATAAATGGATGATTGCTTCCTTCTCGCTAATACAAGCATTCCAAAAAAATCAAAGCTTCAATTGGTCTTACCTAGTTCTGCTTCTGTAAGTGGGAAATACTGGTCTACAAGGGTCTCTGATTTAGTGAGAGCACTGTCCACTCCACTGCTCACCATTTGCACCACACGACTTCTCAGGACAGCATTAATGCTCCCATTGACAACTGACTTAGTCATTTCTAAGCTGTCTTGCATTGCTTCTTTAGTCTTGCCCACAACTCCAGTGATCGTGTGAGCAACAGTTTCCTTGGCACCAGTCACAGTGGTTGTTACAGCTTCTCTGGCTCCAACAACTACATCCTTGGCATTGGCAACAACCTGCCGTAGGAAATACATTGATTCACTAAAAATATTTATTGGTGAGAGCTACATAATCCAGGAAATAATAAATTTATGTTAAAGTTTGTAAAAGTATAGGTTATCTAGGAAAAATTCTGCCCTGAAAACATATGCCCTGAAAACATATGTACAAGACACAACAAGATATGACTGCCATGCAGCCTTCAGCTCAAAACACTTCAGGGATTGTAATCCAATCACTATTTTATTCACACTGAGCAGGAAAGAGACAAAGACTTGAGTGTAAAAAAATTACACCCACCAGTGAACTGCATCTATAGACAGAGGTGTCAAACAACGGAAAAATTTAAAGTAAAAAATGCTTAATGGCCTCACAAAGGCATCAAACAGTTCAACAGCTACACCTGTGACTTCCTCATTGCTTTAAAGCTGTGGTTCAGGCATGGCTTTTTGAAATCTGTCTCCCTGGTTTTCAGTGATAAAAAAAAGAAGGGTGTATGGTTCTCCACCTTAGCATATTTACATGGAAAGAACTTACCTTATCAGTGGGTTGATTCAGTATAGGCAGCCTCTCTTCAATTTTGTCTAGACCTATACATGCATAGTTGTTGGCAACTACAACTATAAAAGAAATTACAAGAGTTGGCTTTAATTGTTTTTTCCCCCTAGTATAAATAATTCAAATTGAAAATTCCTCTTGAAACAGAACTCATGCAACACTCTTAAAAGTATTCCTTACCCCTTCAGTGAGCTTTGAGGCAACAAAGCCCAAGAACAAGGCAGATTTACAGTGCCAGAAAAAAAAAAAATCACTTGTAGGCAGAGAAAATCCATTCGATAATTTACAAGCAACTATAGAAAAAGCTGAAACACCTTGCCCACTGCCATATCATGAAACCAGGCTCCTGGTTAGGACAGCCTTGTGACACAGTTTCCAAAGTAACCAGTCCTCAGTGTGAGGAAGTGAAACAGTAGCATTTGAAACCAGGTGAAAGGCAAGAAAGGTGTTGAGCAAGAGATTACTTAATCATCCTGCGTATCAAAAGGAGTCAATCAGTTTAGTACTACAAAAGATGGAATCTGCTTTCACTCTGCACAATTTTTTTTAAGTCATACCATCTATAATCAGTTACTTAGGCCAGGCAATAGGTTTAGTCAGCTACCCGAGACAGCACTCCAGACCTGCATGACCATGTTAAACTATAAGTGCATCTGGATATATAAAACAATCAGCTGAACTGAAGTTATCAACAGCTTCATCTTTGCCTTACTTTGCGGTTCCAGCTTCTGGATGATAGGCATAGCACTTGTCACAGCTACCGATGTAATTGTCTTCACTCCTTTCTCTGCTACCTCACATACTGACTTCAAATAAGGATGGTTATCCTTAGTGGTGATGTAAGCTGTAGAGACCATATCATAGGTGGAGCTCACCAAAGGAAGGTTGACAACCCTCAATACAATATTCTGTTTAAAAGAGAAAGGGGTTAGCTGACTCCTATTTTTCTGATCTAGACAAAAAAAATATGGGACTAACTCAGACATACCTGCTGCGGATCAATTGCTGCCAATGCCATTTTTTCAGGTCTTGAACCTTACACAGTCTGTGAAAGAAGCATATTCAAGACATGGTGTTCTCATATCCACTTCATCTAAGCACCAAACTTTGAAAGCAACAACCTTCTTATGATCCACTCCATTTAACGGGATCAGAATGTTCACTTCTTGCATACAGGAATCAGATTTTATTGTAACAATTTAGAAATCCAAAACTTGGTTTAGGCAACACAAGCATGGCACATACACAAGACAGGCTTTGAGATACAGGTGAGTAAGATGCCTGGAGTCGAAGTCCAAGCATATTTCAGAGACAGCAAAAGACTCTAAACAGGAAAGCACACTGAGCTACGTCACAAACTTAATTTCTACTTTCTCCCCTCGCTATGGGAAGAAGTGAAAGACCAGCAAGCAGCACGACAGCCATGCAGAACCGCCACGGCGCCCGTCCTGGCTCACCGCTCTACCCCAGGCAGGAAGGCGCCCCAGTTTCCCAAGTGCCACCACGGGCTGCTTCCGGGACGAGGCTTTCCAACGCCACTCCCGGGGGCGTTCGAGGATCTCGAGACTTTCTGGTCCCGAAAGAACTTCTGCCAGCCTACCAAAACCCACTGGGACGCGGGGCGAGGGGCCCGCCAGGGCGGAGGCAGCAGGGGCGGCCCCATGGCGAGCGCCGCACCCGGAGCCGCAGCCCCCGCCGCTCCGCCCGAGGCTCCACCATATTGCGGAGTGAGCGCGCCGCGGGGCGGGCGGGCGCCCGAGGGCTGTTGTGGCCGGCGAGAGCCAGCCGGAGCACCGGGGCTGCCGTACTCAGCCTGGGAGGAGGAAAGCAGGAGGAGCCGCCGCCGCCGCCGCCTGGAGCACGGGCAGGGTCAGGGTCACGGGCGCCGCTGCCGCCGACGGGGGAAGCCCGGGCTCGCCCCGCTATTTCTGGGGCGTTACCGCCGTCGCGCGTCACCGCCGCCGCGGGGCGGGGCCCACACGCTGTGACCCCGCGGCGGTCAGCGGGAGGGCACTGCTGCGGAGTCCGGGAAGGGAGAGTCCTGTGCGGAAGGACACGTCACGGAATCACAGAATATGCTGAGCTGGAAGGGACTCGAAAAGGTCATCGAGTCCAGCTCCTGGCCTTGCGCAGGACAGCCCCAAGAGTCACAACATGACAGCATTGTCTAAATGCATCTTGGACTCTTGTCAGGCTTGGTGCTGTGACCACTTCCATGGAGAGCTTGTTCCAGTGCCCAACCATTTTTCTAATATCCATCCTAAACCCTCCCTGGCACAGCTTCTTGCAGAGCAGAATAACTGGAATAAAACAGAAATTTTCACTTCTCTGAACTGATTTATTACACTTCTGCTAGGATGCACACCAAACATTTACAGGCACCCCACTCCTTTGATTCCATTGTTGTCATCTGAGACCTCCCTTGTTTCTCAGTCACAGTCATGTGGCTTCTCAAGTGTAAACCACTCAGTGTACCCATGACAACCACAAAATAAATTAACCCTGTCATGGTTTGAGATCCCCAAAAACTAATTCCCTAGTCTAAGCCCCCTCCCCCATCTCAACAATGAACTTGTCTATCCTCCAGTGCATCTCTTTTAAACTCATTATAATATCCTCCATGATAGGGAATAGTTCAGGTTTCAGCCTCACAAGCTCCATAGCACAGTTCTACTAGAGATAGCAGTGATAGATAGAATATGGGTCTTTCAGCTTTTCTTACAACTTTAGTACACCCAAACGGAGGAGTTGCTGGGACAACAACCCCAGGGTTCAGCAGGGTTGAGGGGAGTCAGAGCATGACCCTGCTGTGGCCTCACTGGGGCAGGGGCTGACAGTCCTGCAGAGCTGATGTGGCAGGATGCGGGAGGGTATGGGGAAGGCTGGGCAGGGCCAGTAAGCTCTGTTACTGCCATCAAGGCCCAACCAACAGTTCCAGCTGGAGACAGGTATTTTCACTTCAGCTGTGAACCTCATGAGACCAGGTTATCAGCTGTTCCCCAACAAGTGACAGAAAGGCCAAAGGGGAATGCAGCGGTAAGTCTGTAGGGTGCTGAGTAGTCTGCTACTATTCCTTTAGAAACGGATATAGTTTAATATGCTGAGCTAGGGCTGACTGGCAGAGTGCTAGTGTATTATCCAGATCTGATACAGGGATCTTCACTTGGCCTCACAGCTGGTAGATGGAGTGATACCCTGGGAACTCAAAAATGGGGCAGTGAGAGCTCTCACAACAGATTAAAGCTACTTTACTAAAAAGTAGTCATGCTTGTACATCAAGATAGCTAACCAGAGTCTTTACTCAGCCTCTAAGATGAATGTTTAAAGCAGTGAAGTGGTGACATAACTCATAACTCATATGAGAAACTATCCATGCCCTTGTCCTGCAAAACAGAGAGCACAGAAGGGTGGCCACCTGGAGTTGCCAACAAAATATGTCTAGACACAGCCTTAGGAAGCTGGCAGGCCTTAAAGGACCACCTCCAGCCACAGTTCGAGTCTGACTGTAGGGAGTAGAAGCACAGGAAAACTCTGACATGCCTTCTGTGCTTCAAGGTCTTAGCAGCAAACTACCACTGAAGTAGTTCTCAGCAATCAGGATTGCCACAGGGACACAAAGGAAAAGAATCACAGAATCACAGAATATTCTGAGTTGGAAGGGACCCACCAATAGTATCTCCAGATACTATTGAGTCCAACTCTTAAGTGAATGGGCCATACAGGGATCGAACCCCCAACCTTAGAATGTATTCTCGCCTGTGAAGAATAGATGGTTTGGGGTTCATAACATAAATAATCAATTCAATTGGTTACACCAGTGCATCTGACCTTAAAGATACCTAATATTGAATTTACTTGTTTGTAGATATTGCTTTGTCATAAGAGATCCAAGTGATTCTCTTGAACTGAGAATCAATAGACTTGTGTTGAACACCCTGACACTGTTATCTGTGAAAAAACACAATCGTCAAAGGCAGTCTTCCCTTAACTGTCTCACTGCTCCTTTTTCTTTCCAGTCCCACAGAAATCCATTTCTTGGCTTTGTAATTCTACCTTGCACCAGTTTGTCTTTGGATTTGCAACTAACTTCTTATCCACTTCAACTGTCTATCTACCTCACTCCTCGGTTTTGGGATTAAGCCTTTTGTATGCTACTGTATGAAAAGCTTTTCCCTGGTCTTGGTTAGTCATGTCAATAGTGTCCCTGCTGTTTTCCCCTCTCCAGAAGAGGATATCAGATTTTTCAGGCCTGATCCTCCTTTTGTAAGCCCACACTAATTGTACTTAGAAAGAATAGCATCCTTATTCTGCCCTGCCCAAAAGTAAAACACTCCCACCCTTTGTTTCTGAGCAGCAAGATCTGCAGGTTTTCTCTGTTTTCTCTGGAATGTAGTTATCTTGCAATGTGACTTATCTTTAGTTAGCAGTCCAAAGCTCTTCAGCTGTAACTGAGTTAACCTGACTTTTGATTCAAAAGAGACTAACTGGGTCAAAGCTAGTTCTCCACGAAGAAAGGCAAAGGCAAGCAACAGTACCATCAGTTACAGGCAGTCAGGTACTATAGCCCAGGTAGTGAATATGAACCCACCCCTACAACAGATGTGACATGTTTAATTAAGAAAGAAGAAGAGGGAACGGAATCAACTCATGCTTGATAGGGGCAAAGAGTCCCTATCAAGGGGCATATATCTATATACTGTACAGGAATTATTTTTCATTTGGCTACAGTTTGTCTATAACCCTGCCAGATGTACTCAGAAGGTTAGGCAGCAACTTGTTGTTATGGTAAAATGCTGCACCTTCAGAAAGATAACAGCAGGTCTTCACATCTCATGTGACATGTAACATCTATCAGCCTACATGTAGCCCTTTAGTTTTCACTCTTTACATAGTCAAACACACTAGATGAGGCCGTGACAGAAGTTTTCAATAAGACAGTCTATTTTAAAAGATGAATTACTTCATAATAAGATACCAGCAGAAAGAAAAATATCCTAGGTATTTGGCAATTATCTATTTGGCTTAACCATCAGTTAAGCAATACAGCAAGTATTGTATTGATACTAACATGATCCTGTAATTGTTTAATTGTATTGTATTAACACCCAGGAGATGCAGCTATGGGTGAAGATTTTGTTATAGTAGATACAACACAAACACGGTACAAAAATATCTAGGCCCTGTTCTAGAAGTAGTTCTTGAACTATTAATATAGCTAGTAAAATATAGCTGTCATATAAGACCTTCCCACCACAAAATCTAAGACACTTCATGTAATTCTCCACCTAAACAATATTCTTTTTTATGTTTTAGCAACCAGCTACTTAATAGCAACTAACTATTCCTTTTTCATGATAGTCTGAGAGTTTCCTTTATTAAGTTCAAAAAAGTTCCTTACCTGAGGTGTGTTTATTCTTTTATGTTACGTAGAAATCTAAGAGGTTTGCCTTACAAAACATCCAAGCTTTCTCTACTTACATTTCCTTTTACTTGATACAAAAAGAGAAAAGAGGGCCAGACAGACAGCTACAGAGGAGACAGAATCAAGCCTCAAGTCTGACAGTGTGGAAGACATTCTTCTTTTGGAATGCAAAGAGGCCTCCATGGCAGCCTTACTCTTACTCTTCCACATTTGTCCTTCCTTGATACTCTGAGTTTTCTGAAAGTTGCCCACCTTTGTGGCTTTTTTTCTTGAACAAGGCTAAATTTCTTTTTCTTAGAAGCATTTTAGAGTCCATGGATAGCACTGGAAATTGCCCTCTTGACAAGATACTTGCTTTGAATATGTACTACTGATATGCAACTAATGCATGAAGTGTTAACGAACTCTGGTTAAACTCCACTTGGCTGCTTTCCCACAGTCTATAAAAATGACTCATCTTTTATTGCAATGCAGAGTTCACCAACCTGCTAAATCAAACACTACTTTTAAATCAGGCGATTAGATCATTTCTTAACTGTGCTGAGCAATGCAGGCATAAGATGCCAGAATTATTCCACGTGTACACAAGATTATGTATTCCGGTCAGCGATACAGGGGAATGAAAATCAGCAGATCAAGGTTCAAAAACCACTGATAAAGCAGAGGGTCTGCCCTAGAATTCATACTGGCTAAGCACAAAACTGGTGATTCAGAAGATTTTATTGCTATGTTAGCATGCCATTCCTTTCAAATTCACCAGCTACAATGAGAGGCAGAGTCTAGGCATCCCATTTCATTGATAATGATGCACAGCTTCCAGACTGCATATGTTTGTCTTCCAGTCAGACTGGAGCATAGGGCTGGGGAAATGGAGTTTATCTGTGTTGACCTACCCCAACTTACAGAATTTGGAATTAGTTATGTCATTTCTCCATATTTTTTCTAGAAATATTTCACAGGGATGCTGTGAGGTTTAATTGCTTGTTTGCTTCTGAATGCTTTTCCCATGTTCTGA